AACCCAAACCAAATCAAGGTGTGAAATTTGCTGTGAAATGGTTCTGGAAAAGTTTCTACATTTCAGTGCTTAAGTCCCTGTCTCAGAGGAGGCTCCTGCCTGACCCCCTGATGCTCTTCCACCTCCACAGAGTGAGGTGCAGGGGAGGTAAAAGGGAGATCCAGGGAAGCTGGGGTGGGTGCACAGCAGGATGTCAGTCCAGGCCTACGTAGGAGAAGCTCTTACACTTTCTAATCCTTCCTAGGAGCAAAAGCTTTCTGAATCCCACCCCAACAGCCTCCATTGCCAGAACGAGTGAATTCCCAGGGGTCTGCAGAGCCACCAGCACATCCTCAGGGACAGTCTTCCCCATCCCAGCCCTTCCCACAGCCATCCAGCCTCCCTGCCATGACCTAGACACTTCTTGAGGAAAAAAAGGAGGAAAAAAATCAGACTATGGGACCTAGTTCCCAGCCAGACATTTCTAATGAATCTGATTTTGTAAAAACAGAAATCCTGGAGACACCAAGTCAGCCAATCCCTCTTGAAAGCTCCTTGAGTGTCCTGTGGAGCAGGGAGAAGAGATGAGCTGCTCCATATTCCCTTTGTGCTGCTGTTTAAACACCTTCCATTCCGGAATGGCAGGAGCTGGATCACCCGGGGCACCCGAGGTGTTCCTGTGCTGGGCCATCAGCAGATGGAGGCTCTGCCAGCACCCAGCACCACTGTGGCCACTGTCACCAGGGGGGACAGGCAGCCACCTCAGAGCCAGGCTCGGTGCCTCCTCTTTGGAGTTCTGGCAGCTCCAGCACCCAGCTGAGCCCCGTGCTCAGGTGCCCTGAGCGAGCCCTGCCTCGCTGGCACAGCACTGTCCTTGCCCAGGAGCTCTGGCAGAGCCCAGCAGGGCAGGGGGATGCAGCATCGTCGTCCCCAGGTGGCAGGGAGTGCTGGGAGATGCTCTGCCCAGCACAGGGGCTGCCTCAGCCCTTCCCCAGGATGCCACACGCAGGGCAGCAGCCCAAGCACTGCAGCTCAGAGAAAGCCAGCCTGGGTTTAGGAAGGGAGGGGTGAAACACTGAGAGATCTTCTCCAGACTGTGCAGAACAAACTGCTGGCAAACTCCACTCTCCAGCCCACCAGCAGGTCAGAGGTGCCAAGAAACTCCAACAGGCACTTCTCAGTCCACTGGCTCCACCAACACAGTTTCTCTGGGATTGAAAGTCCTCCCATCACTTCCTTCACCTCCTGGGACTGAAAAAATTGTCACTTGGCCATTGAGCCTGAAATGCAGAGGGCCTGGCACATGGAGACTGGGTGCAGAGCCATTAACGCTCTGACCGAGCCCCCATCGTGTCTGTCAGAGATCCCCTATGGACCCAAGGGCCCCAGGCTGCTCAGGAAGGGGGAGACAATTCCCAGCTGCTGTTCATCTGCAGAGACACCTGAGACCACAGGTAAATCATGGGTTAAAACTGTTCCACCTCCTTCAGTGGGAACACCTTGCCTGTCCTGTGAATCTCAAAGACATGACACTAGGAGGAAAGTTAAATGATTAAGTTGTTTTTCCAAACCATATCCTGAAAAAAAAAATCAAATTTTTTAGCCTGAGGAAAGTTGTTTTGGCAGCCCAGCTCTCCAGGAGCTGTTTTGGAGTTCATTTTAGTTGACTGAGTGCGCTCACAGATCTGTGATTAGACACTCTACAGATATTTTTGTTAACCTCCCTATTTGAAATTCTCCCCAAACTTCCAGAGCAGGATTTTCTTGTCCAAGCATTTGTGTTTTGTATTCGTGCTGAAATACTGCTTTATAAATAGCAAAAGCTTTATCTTGACTCTAACCAACAACCTCAACTTAAAGCTAAATGCATAATTTACTGCAAATTAAACTTAATGGGACTGGAATAATTATGTTGACTTTTGGAAGTACTTAAGGATAAATACATGATTAGATATTTTGCACACCGTGAGGAAATATTTATTTCAAAATACAAATTCTTCCCATTGAGCCTTTGGATGGAACATTTAGAGGTGACATGAGCAGCATAGAGATTACAGCCCAGTTAAGGCTGCTTAAACAAATTCTCCTACAGGACGTGGAGCCTTGGAGAGGACAGTGGAGAGCAGTGTCTGTGCCACCGGATCATGGCTGGGGGAAATGGGCACATCCCTGCACGGGGCTCTTCGGCCTCTGCTTCCTGTGCCCACGTGGATGAAGAGCCTGGGGCTGTCCATGGGAACAGGGTCATCTACTGGAGTGTACCAATATCACTGCCAGGACTGCCTTGGTCTGTCTGGCCTCGGCTGCTGACCAAACCTGTGGAGTTTTCTCCCCACAGACACTGTTCAGTACCTGTGGTCAAGCTGGGGACAAGTCTGGGCATGCCCCGAGCTCCAGAGCTTGCTGCTGAGGGGGTCACTCCTCGGGCCCTCCTGAGCTGGAGAAACCCTTAAGGCAAGGTGAAGAAAGGAGCGGGTCCTGATGGAGAGTTTTTAACCCAGAGTTTTTATTTTGGTGGCACGGCCTCTGAATCTTGCAACAATCCACTGAACTCTCCCACCAGAACTCTCCACCAGAACCCTCCAACAAAATCCCCACCGCGTGGTCTGCTTGTCCTTTTACCTGGGGAGAGGGGCAGGGGAGGGGACACAGGGAGCACCAAGCAGGCACAGGGGGAGGGGGTCTCAGGTGAGAGGGACACCTGGGTGGGCCAATGGCCCCCGGGGATGGAGAGCATCCTTTGAACCTGCCTGTCACTCGATGCTCTCTTGGAATTTCTGGGTTGATAGACAGTGCCCAGCAGGAGTCAAGGTGGGGGAAAGGAGAGGTGATTGGAAGCCCACCTGGGGAAGGAAACTTCAGGGAGAAACCAGGGAAACTGAGGCAAGCCATGACATCACACCACAACAGCCATCCTGCCCAGCCAGCCTTCCCCACGCTTGTCCCTCCCCAGGGCCAGCAGTGGGCTGGGTTTGTCCCAGTCCAGCTCGGTCCAGCTCCGCAGGCAGGCGTGGGCAGGACAGGGATCAGAGGGGGAATGAGGATGAGCCCAGCCTGAGCCACAGCAGCTCTTGGCCTTGCAGGGACATCCCAGGTGATAAATGGGCCACCGGAATTAATTGAATTTGGTTTTGTTTTAGTGAATTAATCTGCCAAGGTTAATCAGGAGGGTTCAGCACAGCCTCTCTCAGCCCTGCCTCTGCCCTGCCCCTTGGCTCAAGGCAGCTTCCAAAACACCACATCAAAAGGAACAAGCCCAAACTTTAGAGGGCTGATGTGCCATGAGCTGCTGGGAGGGACAGGGATGGGGGCTTCAGGTGGGACCCCCACCCTGGGAAGAGTCTGGCTTCCCCTGAAGGAAGAGAAATCCCCACCCACCATTCCTTTGGCAGCCTTGGTCATGGCTCTCCATACCAGGGTGGGTGAGACCTGGGCACCCTCCTGACAACACCCCCCGTGTCCTGCAGAGATTTTGGGGCTGTGGGCTCTCCAGGGGCAGGAGGGCCACAGTGGGGCCAGTGAGGACAAAGCTGAGCATCCACTGGGAACACCGGCCCCTCTGGGCAGGTGGAGAGGGGTGGGACAGGGGTCCCCACCTGCCATCTCTGTAGCAACTGCTGGATGCCTCCTGGGCTGGAGCTGAACTCTCCAACACCACCAGTGCTGTCTGTCAGCCAGGATTAGGGAGCGAGCCTGTGGATGGAATGAGAGCACCCAGGTCACCCCCAACAATACCATGACATTGGCTTAGGGAAATTCTTACCAGCTCTACCGGGCATGTGTGCTGCAGATAACAGCACAAAGGAGGCGTTGAGCTGGCAAGCAATTGCCAAGAGCCAAGAGATGGGCACTGGACTTGTATTTGGATTGGTTATTAACACAAAGTGCTCCCTTTAAGGGACTCTTATCTGTCCAGGCCTGGCAGAGCAGCAGCAGGACCCAAATGCCTCAAGCCATGCCCATGCCAAGCTCTCCAGGCTCTGCAAAACAGGGAGAGGGTCCCGTCCCATCCCAGCCCCAACAGGTTACTCACCAGGACATGCTGATGCATCCAAGGAGGGACAGAAGGACATCTCCACAGGATGAGCACCTGAGCTTCTGCTGCTGTCCTGGCTCTGAGGCCTGTTGGCTCTCTGGGCTGTCCACGACTCTTCCAGGAGATGCAGGAATGAAGTAAGGAAGGACACTGATGCCACTGCCCCTGAGCTCCTTGGAGAAGCACCAAACCCAGTGGCCACCACCCTTGTCCCCACAGAACTGCTCCTGTTTTTACCTTAACCAGCCACAATTCTCTGTTCCTGATGGGAGCAGCTGCTGTCACTCTTCAGACCAGTCTGAGCCCACCCTGCCCTCCAGAACAGCCCTGGGGACACAGAGCTGAGCCCCAGGGACACCCCTGCCAGGGCTGAACCCACACACCCAGAGCCCTTCCTAAGGGCAGGACCTGGTTTTAGTTTGCATGATCCCCATTTTTATTATTTACCAGTAAAGTGTAATTACTGCTTCCTTCATGAGCCTTAATTAAAGACGAAAAACAATCCTGACAAGTCAATTAGATTTTTTTTCCTTGGTCTCCATTAAATTAAGACTCAAGTGTTACTGGAAGTGTTTCATATCGCAACACATTTAACTGAAGGCTGCTTTGTAATAAATAAATCACTGAAGACAATGCAGGAACTTTTCCTGAAGGCTCTTCTTACAACAGGACTTCATTTCCCAGCTGGGAAATCCTCTGGCACTCTTTTTCTTCCACACCACCTCTTCCAGCAAGGGGGAAGCTCCATCAGAAGCTGTGGGCAGCCAGGGTGGCTGGTAACCCTGCCCAGTCCAAGATCTCCAGGAGGGCACCAACAGCAAAGCTCTGGAAGCACAAAGCAACCCCATCTCCTCTGTGCCATGGGGGCTTTGTAGGAAGCCGGCCCTTTAAAAGATAAGGCTGAGAGAGAGGCTTTTTCTGCACCTCAGGGCTCCCCCCAGCACAGCTCCCAGCTCAGAGCCAGGAAAGAACTCCAGAGGCCATCACAAATTTGGAACATTTATTTATGCAACTGATTTTCTTAAAAGGAAAGAAAGCCAAAAATAATAACAAAATAATAAAAAAACCGTTAACAACAGCTGGATGTGTGTGGTACAATCCACATCAGACATGTCCCTCCCTCGGTCCCACTGCTCCATCCTCGTCCATGGTGGAGCTGCCTCATGGTCCCAAGTCCCTTTGGCACCAGCTCTAGGATGCTGCCAGCTTTTAGGAGCACTTTGACTGCATATAGACAAAATTGTTCCAATTTGGTGGTTTTTCTTGGGTTTTAATTTTTTCCTTTTTTTTTCTTTTTGTTTTTATTTTAAAAAAAAGCACCACTCCAATCTGTAATACCAATAAACATTATCCATCTTAAGAACAGTATTTATATTTTTATATATAGATTTCTATATATATATTTCTATGTACAGGATGTCCTTGCCTCGTGTCAGAGGAGCACGTCAGTAGAAGTTGGAGATGGGTTGGGTTTTATAGCACTTGGATTTCAAAATCTGCCTTTCACCAGAGATGGCCTAAAAACCCACAGACACCCAGCAAGGAGGTATCAAAATAAAATAAAAAGGAAAAAAATCTTGATTTTCAAACATATATACAACTCCTCCAGTCTCTGTAGGACTAAATGGGGTTTCTCTCGTCCTTTTCCTCTTTCTGGCAATACTTTACCTGCAGGGCCCTGTGGGATGCTCTCTCCCTCTGGACTGCAGGGGGGATGTGGGTGGCCCAGGCAGCAGCATCCCTCCAGCTCCCCAGGCTGGACATCCCCCAGAGCTTCCCATCCCATTCCCAGGGATTTCAGAGGCTCAGCTCAGCCATTTTTATCCAAAACCAAACAACTTCTGCACCCAGCATGCAGCACCTTCCCTAGGACAGCACAGGTCTATGGAGAGATGGGGACTGGGAAAAGGACACAAATTTATCCCAGTGTAAGTACTAGTGTAGCCAGGTACTGGTGTTACTGGACCATTGGGGAGTAAAAAAGACCTTTTGGTGACAAGACAGAATGGGCACACTGCAGGTGAGACAGCAGGGATGGAAAGAAGGAAGGAATGATGTCATATAGCCCTTGGAATAAGTTATTGTCAGACTGAATTCCTCAGGAGGAGGTGGCAGAACCAAGGGTCTGGGATGGTGCTGAAATCCCATCACCACAGCACTGGCACATTGTCCAAGGGCAGAGAGGGCAGGGATGGCTCTTCCTGCTCTCTTTCACCTTTGGAAGGTGGATGGAAACCTCTCCTGGGTTTCTCCTCCAGCCATTTCAGCTGTGCAGCCTTCATGAATCCCTGGGGTGAATTCCCTGGGCAGTGGATTGGCAGCCCCAGGCAGGCAGGGCAGGGGAGCTGCCCCTGCCCTGGGGAGGCATGGCTGGGGGATGGGGGGTGAAGGGGGCAGATGGATGAAGTACAGGGCTGCCCACATGAAACCTCAGCATCTGGAGGAGTTTCTCATCTGCTCTGCTCCATCCGCCCCAGAAGTGATGGGGAAGGGTTCTGCCTGGCCCTCAGGACAGAACCAGCCTCCCCAGACCCGGATCCCTCTGGATGCACCTTTCCAAGGCCATTTATTTTATTACAACCAGCCTGAGAGCAGAATCCCAGTAGTTACCACAACATCAATGGAAAAAGTGCCATTTCACACCCACCTGCAGCAGGATGGAGCTGAAACGCCTCAGGTACCTTCAGCCACCAGCCCAGGTGGCACAGAGGTGTGGGGACCTTCCCCTGTTCAGCCCCAATGCACAGCCATGGCTTTGGCACAGCTCAGCCCAAGCCAACACCAGCCCAAAATCGATCCTCCTGCCCCACCAGGCCCAGCAAAAACCAAAAGCATCAATGGGCAACTGCCCAGGGGTGGCATCCAGGAAGTATTTGGGATGGACCCAAATTTTGAGGATTTTGCTTCAAATGCAGTGATGCACAAAGGAAGGGTTAAAAACAGAGCCATGAGCCAGTGCCTGTGGGACATCACGAAGAATTCACTGCTACAGATGGAGAGGAAAGTGTGGAGACACTGGGGAACCATCCCCTCCAACCCTTTGCAAAAGCACCAGGAGGGTCCAGATCAGTCCTTGCAGAAGGACATTGCATGGCCAGTGCTCCCCATCCCTCATCCCTGGCCGTCCAGGGCTGGATACACAAAGGGTCAGAACTCACAGAACTAAAATAGGATCAAACTCATGGTGCCAACAGGCAGAAACTCAGGAGCTCCTGGGGAGGCCTTTGCTCGGGCTCAGAGTGAGTCCCACCGAGGCAAAACCTCCGGCAGCCTCCGGGCTCCCCGAGGAGCAGCTTCAATTCCACACACCAGAGAGCAACATCTCCCAGTGTCCATCCTCCTCTGATGGGAAACAGCCTCAGCTCCTTCTGGCCTCCTCTTCCTCCCCTCCCTGGCCTCCTCTCCAGCAGCTCCAGAGACCCAGCAGCACTGCAGGGCCGCATCCTGCACACACCAACCCCAGGCTGAGCTGCGGGATCCACCCACTCGGCCATGCCCAGGGCAGGGAGGAAGGAAGGAGAGTGGAGGATGAAGATGGAGAGTGGCCAACACATCTCCACGTCCTTTTGTTTTCTGGATCCCAAGTTTCCTGGTGGGTTTTGCTGTTTGCTTTCCTTTGCAGTTTCCCTGCCCACCCCGAGCAGGGACACAGTGCCCAGCTGGGAAGCGCGGCTGGCACGGCCCCTACACAAGCCCTTGCTGCCCCTCTCGTGGCCAGGTGCTATCTGGTCTCCAGGGACTCCAGGTATTCCAGTGCTATGTCGTAGCAGAAATGGTACTGCTCCTGTTCAGAGAGAGAAGAGAGGGTGTTACAATCCTGAGGGAACTGTTTCCCAAAGTGAATGTGAGGAAAAACACACATCAACAACCCTAAGGAAACACCTGCCAGCCTGTTGGGGACCCCTGACAGCTCTGCTGAAGCCACAGCCAGGAAAAACTCCACTCTTGGCAAACGACAGACACTGCTGGGGCAGGGGCATGGTGCCCCAGATCCCACAGCTCCACACGCACTGAAATCCAGCATTTTGGAGACACACAGCACCTTCACCTGCCCCAAGGGAGGGACCAGGACTGCAATATCCCCTTATTGTGAAAATACCTTTATTCACCACCCCAGGTACAACCAACACTGGAGGGTCAGCAATTTAATCACCTCAGTGACTGACATGTGTCAATCAAATGGTGGAAGAGATGTGGGAACAACAGAGTCTGGGGTCAGAGGTGTCCACAATAAAACCTTAGGCAGGAAATCAAGGAGTTTTTGTTTCTGAGTTCAGCAGAGGCTAGAAAAGGGGAGAGCACCCAGGCAGATATCCATGGTTGGAGTGGGTGGAGATGTCCTACCCTGGCTGCCAGGATATTCCTTTATCATAAATTCCCTTGCCCAGCAGGACCAGACTCCCTCTCCCATCTTTTTGTGAGACATCCAGGGGTGCTATCAGCATCCGCCCACCCTTCAATCCCCACCAGCTGCACAAAGGGAAAGCCCAGAGCGGCTGACTCCTGGTTTTGTTACAAAAATCCCTGAACTGGGGCTTGTGAGGGCAGGCTCATCCATCCCCGTCCTCCTTTCCATGACCTGTTCCCACGCTCTCCCACCCTCAGCACAAAATCCTCAGGAGAGCTCCGACTGTGGCAGTGCCCATCCCAGGAGAGCAAAACCCCAAAGAAATCAGGATTTTGGTGCTGCTGCAGGCACTGGGACTCAGGTGGGAGCGCTGCGGGTGTGACAGCAGGGAGGGAGAGGGGAGAGCTCATCTCCCCAGATCCTGGCCGCAGGATGGGATTGGAGCCTGAGCACTGGCACGAAAATCCTGTTATCCCACACGGGTGGGCGGCCACGGGATCCCAGGTGGGAGCAGGCAGAGGGGAGAAGGACTTCAAAGCCAGGAGGCTGCGGCAGCCCAGATTAAAAGCACATAATGCTTTTTGGATTAAGGAAAGGGATTGTTTCCATTTATCATATAAAAATAACCCCCGGGGCAAACAGAGGGGGAAGAGGCGCAGGCAGCAGGAAGTGCTCTCTGCTGGGCTGAGCTCCTTACACCAGGCATGGATCCGGCCTCCCGGTGACTCTGGGAGATTGAGATTCCCAGAATAGCCAGTTCAGGTTCATTTGAGGCGGGAGGAGGCTTGTGTCCTGATGGGAAATGTGTTACCTTTTTTTAATACCCTTGCAATTTAGCCCAATGGGTCTGGTGGCTTCATGCTTGTCACATCATCTTTCCATTATCTGCATCCCTCCCCCTGCTCCCCTCTCCCCTCCCTCTCCTTCTCCTCTGCTTTTAATTCCTAATGCAAATCACATCCCCTCCTCAAAACCATTTCATTTTGCAACTTAGGGATGTTATAATCTAAACATGGTAAACATTTCCAGCTGACTTGCTCTTAAAACATCATGAGGCACCTGGATCCCTCCACCACAGGGACAGCCAAGTGCCCGCTCCCTCCCCTGTTCCGTCATCAGAGGCCTGAATTAGGGCAGAGGCTTTTTGCCCTGACCTGCTGCCAGCTCCAGCCTCCTCCTCAGGACACATCACTCCATTGCTGCTCCCAGCAGCTTGTGCACCCATTCATTTCACTCCAAGTGCTGCTCATTCCCTTTCATATTTCTGACAGGAATTTATCTCACTCCACACCAGCACTGCTCCCAATGCCACCAACCTTCCAAAGAACCACAGTTGCACCCCGTGGGTTAATGTGACTGCCTTACAACTCCTGGGAGGATTTCCAGCAATCCCAGCACGGACTCCAAGGCTGTGCTGGCACAGCAGGATGAAGACAAGCCTGAGGCTGCTTTGAGCAGCTGCCTCACTTCCCAGCCCACCCCAGCACAGAGTTGGTGCGAGGATGCCCATGATGCTGGTCAGGATTTGGGGTGGAAAAGGCAGTGTTTTGGGAGGTGGGCATCCCCCACACCTCTCCTCCGTGCCAGGAGCAGAAGCCAGGGTGGACAGGGAGGGTCTGGTGCTTACCAAGGTCTCCACCATATTTGGTTTGTAGTTGCGGAGGGTCTTGGCAGCAAAGAAAACATCTGCCATGTTGTGACACTTGATCATCTCCAGGATCATGGTGGAGGCACAGAAGGTGCCGCTCCGGCCACCTCCGTTCCTGGTGGGACAAACACACATGTCAGGGGTGAGAAGGTGGCATCACAGCACCTTCCTGCACCCTCCAAGTCTCCCTTTCCCTATCTAGCCTTGCATCCCAGGGGATCCGTTCCTGGTGGGACAAACACACATGTCAGGGGTGAGAAGGTGGCATCACAGCACCTTCCTGCTCCCTCCAAGTCTCCCTATCTAGCCTTGCATCCCAGGGGTGGGTGTCCCAGAGCAGGGGCTTGTACCTGTGCCAGGGGACCTGAACCTGCCCATGGGGTGGCAGGACAATGATCCTGCCCTCCAACCCTCACCAGAGCATGAAAAAACCCTTTTGGATTACCAAGGCTGGATCTTGGACATTTGGGCTCAGGTCCTAGACCCTGTCATGGATCAACTCCTTGTGACCTTGGGGAAACTGTGTCCCTCCTGCCCTGCACAGGGTGACCCTGGACAGGTGACACGGTGGTGCTGCTGCCTGGAGGAACTGCCCCACAATCCACATGGGGCACTGGGAACCTCCCCAAATCCTGGGCTGAACCCTGTTCCCACACCACCACACCTGAAGCCTAACAGCAATGGGGACATGGGAGAGGAAGAGAGAAAGAACACGGTGCCAGAGCTTTATAAAGCATGTTCCCAAATTATCCTTCAGCTAACGAAGATGGACAAGGCTGTAATTAGTTTTTGATTAAAGGCTCGCCTGCTGTCTCTCCCCATCTGTGAATGTGCTGGGTCCCATCCGAGGGGAGCACACACGGTGTTCATGAGCCAACCCCACGGGGAGGACAGGGGTGGACAGGGCTCAGAGCAACCTGAGGTGTCCCTCCCACTGGAACAAGATGAGCTTTAAGGTCCCTTCCCAGCCAAATCACTGCATGATTCTCTGTCCCCCCCAACAATGAGCAGCAAGTGGTGGCAGTGGCACAGCTCCTGCCACGTCCCTTCGGAGCCTGTTACACACACGGGATGTGGGGACAGGGCTGGGACCTCTGCCCAGGGTGGGGGACCAGCACAAAGGGCAGCTTGGTGTCACCCTGCTGAGCATCCATCTCATGCATGAGGTGACCCAAAACTCATGTTGTGGCAGAGGTAGCCCCATCTGGGGACAAAGTCACCCCAGTGAGGGCTTTGTGAGGGTCTCCAGGCAGTGCTGTGGACATGGAATCTGGAGGGATCTCCGCCCCAGCAGAGCCTGCTCCTCCCCAGCTGACACTCACAAGCAGTGCACCACAGTCCTGCCATCACCACTTTCCTTCTGCCACCTCTCCACCTGGGCCAGGAGGTGCAGGAAAGACTTCTTGGAGTCTGGGGTGTCACGATAGGCTGACCAGCGCAGGTACTGGAAATGCCGGACCATCAGGTGCCCCTCCTGCAACTGGAAAAGCAAAACCCATCAGCTGGAACCCATAGGCTGCCCTCACTTGCCTCCACTGAAGATCTAACAGAGGGCAGGAGAGGTTTGATGGAGGGAAAGAGGGGTTTGCCACACATGGACAGCAGAGGCAGAGAGGAAAACCCTTTCCTGCTGCTTTAACATGGGCGGTTCAGCCCTGGCCTCCAGCTCACACTCATTCCACCACCCAGGACAACTTCACTGACATGGTTTATCCACCCTCACAGCATCTTGGGCTCTCTGTATCTCCCAAAACCTTCTCCCAGGCCCCTGAGCCTCCCCCGAGGCCTCTCCATCACACCTTCCTCTTTGCATGGCCAAGATCCATGGGATGTGGTTCTGTTGTGCTCACTGTAAACCAGGAGGCTGCTGAGAGGCTGCCACGGAGGCAGGAGCTTAATACCTGGTAATTTGGTTAGTTTGGAAACTTAATCTGGTTAGCTGGATCCAGAAGGAGGATTACATCCACAGAGCCCAGCAGGCTTTAGCTGGGCAGATGTGGCATTCCTGCTCTGGAGCACTCGGAGCATCCCAAGTACGGGATGGGATGAGACCATGGTCACCCCCCCAGACACAACCTGGGGCTCACAGCTCATGTGTGGGGAGCACATGGAGGAGAAAGGGGGGGCCAGGGCCAGATGGGGGGTCAGGCACAGCTGGGGGACACTCAGCTCTGGAGGGCTCTGTCCATGCAGTTTCAGGTGCCTGCTCAGTGGGATGAGCAGCAGACCTTCTCCACCCAGCAGGACCAGGTGTTGCTGTGGGGGAGTTGATATTCCTGCGGACTGAGAGTTGAGGGAATTTGGTGCCCACTCTAACCTGCACATTTCAAACAGGGGTTTTTCTGAACCTTTTTGGGAGCTCTGATGTGAGCTGGGGATGTGTCTGTGATGGCCTAACCACCCTAGGCTCCAGTTTTTGCTTCCATTCTGAACCTTTTTGGGAGCTCTGATGTGAGCTGGGGATGTGTCTGTGACCACCCTAGGCTCCAGTTTTTGCTTCCTGCTGGAAGCCAGGAAGGAAGAGGAGGAAGAGGAAACAAATAAATGGAGTTGAAACAGAAGAAAACTCCTTTGACAGACTGGGAAAGAAAATTTTGGGATCTGCTTTGAAGTGAGGTGAGAGCTCTAGAGCACTTGTGACACCCCCAATGCCCATCTCCATTCCAGCAAGGCTTGGCACAAAGTGGCTCCATGCATTTCCCAGCCCTGCTCCAGCAATCTGCTCCCTGGAGGAATCTCCTCGTCAATCCAGAGATTTCCATCACACTGCATTTTAATTTAGCCCAGAGTATATCCTACCACCTGAGAGATGAGCATATTTGGTGTAGGATTTTGTGCTGACACCCAGAAAATGCCAGATGCTCCCTCGGGGAGCGTGAACCAAAACCCTCTTTGTGTTAAGAGTTCAGATAATCAGGATTTACCTCCTCTGGCCCTGGCCACCCCGCTGAAGCACCTTCCCAGCTGGGCCATCAGCCAAGCCACACGTTCCCTTCCAAGCTCCCTAATTCCCATCTGCCCAGTGACCTTCACTGGGGCACTGGCCTCAGCCTCTTGGCAACCATTAGGAGTTTAAAGACATCAGGGATGCCATCTCCTCCCAGCTGGCATTTGTAGGTAAATCAGCTGCTTTTTTCCATGTACAGCTCTGCATCACCACATCCTTTCCCTGCTGCCCTGCATTTCTCTTCCTTCAAGGCAAGCTTAACCAGCCATACAACACTGACAAAGGGTAAAAATCTGTGTGGATCTTCTCATCCTGCAGGGAAAGGGCTCTGCTGATGCCAGGGGAGCTGCTGTGCCCACGTGGAGAGTGTCTATCCTGTCCTATGTGTGTGGCAGGACAGAGATGGAGCTTCAGGCAGGAGGAGAAAGGTCTTCTGGCAGTTTTCTAACACCTTTCAAGGAGCTGTCAACTCCAGAAAGGTTGGATGGAGCAATGGCAATGTTACAAGTTCTTCTCTGGCAGGAGGAGAGCTGGGGCTGTCTCCTCTGCAGGAGCTGAGTTAGGCTGGAGACCCCAACAGTCAGGAAGGATTCTACTGCTCTTAACAACTCCCTGAAATGTTGAAGCCAGGTGGGGTCAGTCTCTTCTCCGAGGTAACAAGTGATTAAAAAAGAGAAAACAGCCTCAAGCTGCATCATGGAAAGTTTAGATGGGGTATTAGGGGAAAATTTCTCCACCAAAAGAGTTGTCAAGCCCTGGCACAGGGTGCCCAGAGAAGCTGTGGCTGCCTCTGGATCCCTGGAAGCATCCAAGGTCAGGCTGGATGGGCTTGGAGCAATCTGGGATACTGGAAGGTGTCCCTGTCCATGGTAGGAACAGCATGGTTTTGAAGTTCCCTTCCAACCTAAACCATCCTGGGCTTCTGTAATTCATATAAAGCAGCTCACCCGTGTGATGTTCTGGACTCGGAAGAGCCGGGACACGATGTCCTCATCCGCCACTCCCGAGATGTACTCCACCTCCATGGGGCCGTAGTGCTGGAGCCCCGGCTCGGGCCAGTACTGCAGGCAGGGCTGTGGAGAGAAGCACAGCTCATCGGGACTGGAAATGCGGGCTGGGACACGGCAAGGGCAGCAGGAGACGCCTCTGAAGGGAGTGGCTGGTGCTGGACCTGGGGGGCTGCTGGCACGGGGTGGCCCCAGGGTGGGATGGTGGCCCCAGGGTGGGGTGCTGGACCACAGCGCCATTTCTCACTCAGAACATCAGTGGCTGGAGGATCTCCCAGCTTATTGAGGGGTCAGACATGAAAGGTCAGGTGCACCCCCAGCACCCACACAGCCTCCTCACACTGCACAGACACAACCGCTGACACTGCCTGGAATGGACACTGCTGTTCCAGGAGGATGCAGGATGGGCTGTGCCCCAGTTCCAGCACAGACCTGATCCTGCACAACAACAGAGCAGGGCTGGGCTGCTCCCAGCTGGCTCTCAAGCCCTGCTGGCTTTAGGAGCCACTCTGCCACCAGCAGTGACAGCAACGTGGGATGTCAGTGCTCCTCATCCCATGGCCAGGGCATCCCAAACAAGCCAAAGCAATCCCAGCTACACCTCTGGGGAGCAACTCCCCCTCCCTGTGTCCATCATGGCACTGATGGATTGCTTGGTCCCTGGAGCATGGGTGAGATTGTTTTCACAGTGTGACAGCTGGGAAACCAGCACCGACACAAAATATATGATGTTTGTCACCACACTTTCACAGGGCATTTAGCAATGCAGGTCAGCCACGGCCTGGGCCCAACTGCACGGCAAATGTGTCTCAGGAATAATTGGTTATTAATAGGGGCTATAAATCTCTGAGATCTCTGAGCCTTCCAGACTTAGAACTATAATTTGGATATTAAAACTTCCCTTGGCAAGGCGTAGTTCAAGTGAGGGCTGTACCCTCAAAGTCACCTTTCGCAGCTGCCTGCTAGAAAGGTTGATTTATTACCTGTTGGTCTTATACCAGTAAACATTTATGATCCAGCTAAATATTGTAACCCAGACACCCCTGAAGAACAGACAGCAAGAGAGAGGCAGGGCTGAGTAACAAGAAAAAGTGGCAGAGGGAAGGAAGGGATTCTGTCCCTCTGCCCTGCTCAGGTGAGACCCCACCTGCAGAGCTGCCTCCAGCTCGGGGAACATGGACCTGTTGGAGCAATGTCAACACCAATGGAACACCAACTCAAAGGCAAGGCAACATCAACACCAACACAACAGCAATGCAACAACATTGCAACATCAATACCAATGGAACGCCGATGCCAATTTAATGCCAACACCAACTCAAAGCCAATGCCAACTCAACACCAATGCAACACCAACTCAAAGCCAGCACTACACCAACTCCAACACTATGCCAACTCAATGTTAGTGCAACACCAACACCATGCGCCCAGGCTGGGCTGCTGATCAACACCTCTTTGTCCCCAGCTGGCCAGCCCTGTGCTTACAGGGGACAAATCCTGAGTGCTGCATACAGGCCCGTGTGCCCTTGCAGAGGAGAAATTGCTGAGTGAGCAAGGCAAGGGGCTGCAGCACTGTCATGGCAATGGGGATGGAGCAGGACAAAGCCACCCATGGGCCGGCGCAGCCCAGGCAGCAGCACTGACCCAGGCGGAGTTGGACTGGTTGAGCTGGTTGAGCATGACGATGGAGGTGCAGCCGTAGTCGTACACCAGCCGCCAGAAGTCGGTGGTGGTGTTCTGCAGCGGGTGCAGGGTGACGATGAAGGCAGCGCTCTTGGTGTAGCTCTGTGGAGAGGAAAGATGAGCACCAGTAAGGAGACGGTGGTGACACTGGGGCCACTTTTGTCACACCCCAAAGAATCAATACAACCAGATGAGTGGGACCAAACCCCTCTTCTCCATGCCTGAGCAGAGCTGGTCTCCCTGGCACAGCCTCAGTTCCTCCATGCCCTGGTGATGAGAAGATCCAGGTGATCCCTGCCCTTTGTCAGGATGAAAACACCCACGTTTTGCTCTCACAGGAAAGAGTATTTTGCATAAATAACTAGGGAAAAGATGCTACCTTTTGAGCAAAGAACAAGCAGAAGCTGTGGCCCCCAGAAGACCCCAAACCCCAGCTCTGCACCCTGGCCCTGACTGGAAGCATCACCCACAGCATCACCCCCACACACAGCACCCCATCACCAGGTACTGAGAGCAGCAGAGACAACCACTGACCTGGGTTCATTTTTTTTTTTGTGGGGAAGAAGAAACCTCCCCCCCCAAAAAGATCCTAGAGATTGCAAGAAGGAAGTGGGAGGGAAGGAAATTACTGTATCTCTGGTTTGTGCTTTGAACAAGATACATCTCCCCTTGGTCATCCTGCTGCTGGTTTGCCAAGGGACAGCTGAGCTCAGCACTGCATCAGGCACACTTAACACAGTTTGGCTCAAGCCTCTTCAGACACAGAATCAGCACAGCTCTCTGCTAATGGGGGTCTTCTGCCTGCTGCAGCACCTCCTGACTGAGCTCACAGAAATGAACTTATTGTGTCATTCCCGTGGCCATGTCTGTGGGCAGCAGTGAGACCCCAGCACTCAGCAAGAGCTTTCCATCTTCAAGCAGGGGCATGAGAGCAGCAGGGGGAAAGAGATTTCACCATGCCCAGGCTTGCCTTGGCACCCTCCTCCTGGCACAGGTGTAAGTGACAGCAGGGTGTGGAGCAGGGCACGGCTCCACTGGCACCAGCACCACTGATGGGTAGCACAGGCCAAGCTGATCTGGCAGATGGACAGACTGACTGAGCAAACCACTTTGGCACTTAAAGAGAATGAGACTTTTTTTTTTTTACCCAAAGAGGGAAATAGGTTTTATCCCTTCAGCAAGAATTTCATCCAAAGGGCTTTGTCTGTCTATAAAAAATATTTCATTCACTGACCCTTCAGCAGAGATTAAGGGAGGCTCAGTGATGCATAAAGATAAAATGGATATGCAAACAGCAAGCAAGCTGGAAACAAAACTCCCATCCCACTGCAGCAGTACGAGAGCCACTCCCCACCACCAGCAGCTCACTCTGCTTTGCAAACTGCTTTTGCTGTGGGAGCAGGAATCAGGGAGATGGGATCTGCACAGAGGTTCAGCAGGATAAATCACCCACAGCATGGAAAACATAAGGCTCAGCCTGGTGCCAGCACTCAGCCATGACCAGGAGGGTCTGGGAAAGATGCCTGAGGTGTGGGGGTCTCTGTGCTGCCCATGCAAAGCATTTCAAGGAAAGGGAAGTGGGGCTGGTGATGAATGACCCCATCCCTCAGTGTGGGCTTGGAGCCTGCAGCATCCTCTGCTCTGCTTTGTGGTCATCAGCCATTAGGAGACAGCTTTGTCACCACGGGGTCCTTTCTGACTGCATCAGGGGGATGCATGTTGGCTCTGGGAGCAGTTGAGCCTTCCCAGTTACATCAGGAGGGGCAGGAGGATCACAGCAGGGGCTGGCTACCCTTAATGCTACCAACCCCCACAAAAGCTTCCTCTCCCTCCCCTGCTCCACTATCACTGCAAAATCCTGGAGTCCCTCAGTGCCTGGCTCGTGAGAGCAGGAGAAAAGCTCTTGCAGGGTGCTACTACACAAAAGAAGGAGTGGCAGGACCCCATTATGCCATCCCAACCCTTCCCCTCCTGCCCATGTGCAAAACGAGGCCATAAATCCAAACCAAACAAAGTTCTACCACGAAGAGTTGCCTGAGCCCACAGGAAGCAGCCTCTTCCCTCCCCAGGGAACACTCACGTCAGTTAAGGCCGCATTGATGTAGTTGTTGCTGTCTCCATCCACGGAGATGAGGAAGGGAAGGCATCGGTCGGGCGGCAGGACGTCCATGCTGCGGTTGCGCTCCCGGTTGCGGGGCAGGAGCGCGATGCTGCACTCCTCCACATCCAGGTGTGGGGTCACCGAGTTCAGGGTCTGCGGGTACACGGGTCCCCCTCAAAGCCCTGCCTAGTCCCAGCAGGGGGGGCACCGGCAGGGTAAGGACAAGGGGGAGTTGCAGAGGTTTGGGGACGCTCACCTGGAACTCCTCCCGCAGCTGCGAGGAGTTGCTCTGTGGCTCTATCCTCACCATCTCCTTGTAGGTGGGCTTGAACTCGCTGGCAGGGATGCTGGTCTCCCCACACAGACAGGCCTCCAGGATGGCGTCATGGATGAAGATGTACTGCTCCTTTGGGGAGGAGAGGGGACAGGGCTGAGCCTCCAGGGCCGGCTGGTGACAGCAGCCCCAGGTGTCTCCAGCTGTCCCCGACGCCCGCTCACCTCTGTCTGGATCATGTTGATCCTCCGCGAGCACAGGGTCTTCACGCAGTTGTAGATGTCCACGACACCCTCGCACTCAGCCATGTCCAACATCACATCCAGCACGATGTAACAACCAGTCCTCCCCGTGCCAGCACTGGGGATGGAGGGGGAAACAGCAAACACATTCACAGTCTGTGCTGGCATCCACACACAGCCCGAAAGGCTGCTGGGCACCCAGCAATGCCTCTGTGGGCGAGGGCTCAACACACAGATCCTGTACCCGGCAACCCCGCAGGGCTGCCAGGACCTCACACACCTCCAGAGGCTGGTTTAGCCGTAAACCTGCTCAAACACCCCTGCTGCAGCCCCAAGGGTGTATGAAGATCAGATAAGCACCCATGTCTAAAGTTAATTTTTAATTTAAGGCAGCACAACACATGGTTTTTGCAATAAAACCGACAACTAAACCATCTAAGTGCCAAAAGTCCCCTGGGATCTCAGCCCAAAAGCACCAAGGAGGGCTCAGCTCTGAGCCCTGGCAGACCAGTGAGGCTCCCCTGGCATGAACAGGTCTGAATGCACCAGGTGAGACCCTCAGGGTAAGGCTAAGCCCAGCAGGGTACCCAGAGTGAGTCCAGCAGTGGTGACATCCAGGCCCTGGCATGGCTGCTGTCACAGTCAAAGACCTACTGTGCCCTGACACCCCCCCTCCAGCGATGTGTCAGGAATGGAACCACTCCCCTGTTCCTTTCCTTCAGAGTCTTTTCCAGTGAAATACTAATTTCTGGGGCTGATGAATCACTCGTCATGATTATCAGTGATTACAGGCTATGGGCACTAATCACACTGGCTGGTGAATGAACACTGATGAGGCAGTTGACAGGGAGAAATCAAATAAAAAATAAAAAAAATCCCTCCCACTCATCAACTCCTCCTGGTTTGCCCAGTGGAGGAAAAGCCATTAGCCCATCATGTGGGAAAGCCTGCTCAGGGCACAGAGAGCCACCAAAGCTGCTCAGATGTATCACTCGTGTCCTCCCAGCTCCAGTGGCTGAGCCCTGCAGGGACAGCCCTGTGGGTAACCCTGGGAACAGGGCTGTCCTGCTGCCCCCCTGCCTCTCCCTTCAGCCAGACCATCAGCAGTGGTCAAGCTGCTCATTGCCATTTCACCTATGCCCACTGGGACAGAGCTGTCACCAGTAACAGGCTGGGGCAGCCCCAAAACAGTGCTGCTCCCTGCTTGTCCCCCTGGACCAGCCCCTGCTGCCACCAGCCCAGCAGTGACATTTCACAGAGAGATGCCATCACAGAGGGATGTCAAGGCCAGGTCAGACAGGGGGTGGAGGAATCTGGACTAGTGGAAGGCGTCCCAGCCCGTGGTGGGGGAATGAGCTTTAAGGTCCCCTCCACCCCCACCTGTGACATGTGTCCTGTCCCACCTGCAGTGGATGACGATGGGGCCGGCGTCGGGCGGCGTGGACGCCTTCACCCTGCGGATGAAGGCCAGCAGCCCTGTGGCATGGTAGGGGACACCGTGCTCGGGCCACGACATGAAGTGGAACTGCTTCACCTCGTGCCGGGCCGAGTAACCCCGCTGCAAGGGAAGGGTGAGAGGGCAAGGTCACTCAAACACTTCATTTTCTCAGGAATCCATGATTTTGCCAGCTCAGCACCCACGCGCAGATGGACCACACAGCAGTCACATGCTTGGGCAGCCCCACAGCTCTTTCCTCTTGGCTGCAAGAGGGTTAAAAACCACCAAGCAGAAAAAGGAGGAGGTGGCTGCAGCCTCAGGTGTCCCTGCCCTATAACCAGACAGTAATTTGACATCCCTGTAGATTAAGGGGTAAATTGCACTGGCTCCATCTCCAGTTACCGTGCTGCAGAGTGATGGCTACATCACCTCCAGCCCAGAGGAGAGGAACGCATCCTTCACCCCCACCACACTCACACAAAAATTAAACACTCACTCACTGTCCAAACGAAGGTGGGACTGAGCCACTCGCCCGGCACAGGGTGCAGAGCCAGGGAAAAGGCAAAGAAAGGAGTGACTGGTGACCCCATACTGGGTTAAATAAACAGGGTACTCAAATGCCAGGCTGTGGAGCATGAGAGGTGCCCGGGGGGGGGTCTGTCCCCGAGGCAGGGTGGGGCAGGGACAGGGCCGTACCCTCTCAAGGGCGAAGGTGCGCACAGCGTACTCAGCCAACGTCTCCGACTCCACCAGCGTGATCTTGATGTCCCCGTACATCTCGGAGTCATCCGGCCAGTACTTGGAGCATTTCACCTGCAAGGAGAGCACGGGATGGGGGCTAGGCTCTGCAGAGACGGCTTCCAGCAGGGATGGGATGGCATGGCACGGTAACAGGGACGCTTACCCGGCCCACCTCCACCAGCTTGGTGATCATCACGATGCTGGAACAGTGCTCCTGCCACACCATGCGCCAGAAGTCGTACACCATCTCCTGCTTGGGCCCTGTGGGACACAGTAAAAGCCCCCACGGATGGATGGGCACCACCAGCAGAACCCAGCCCTGGCAGTGGCCCAATGCTACCATGTTCCCCCCTCCTGCCTCTGAGGCACAAACAGCTCCAGAGCACCTGAGAGCCCTTTTCCCCAGGGCTGTGCAGTGCCAAGGGGAGGCAGGAGGGGTGGGAGCACCTCCACACTGGCCCCCTCCCTTCCCGTTCCTGCAAGGTTTAATCCCACCAGGAATAAAACCTGGCTGCTACACAGGAACTGAGGAACCACTGGCTGAAAAGGCAGGGCCTGACTCACCTTGTGTGGCTATGAAGTGGTTGGACCTGTGGTAGCCCTGCAAGGGAAGCAGAAACATCACTCCCAAGCTGGGGCACAGACCCTTAGACACTTCCCAGACACCCAACTGGTAGAAATTCCCTACAGCCACTGGGCCAGGTCCTGCAAGTCCACTGCAGGAAGAGGAGAAGGTTCATCAGCCATCCCACACCTTGTCCTGGGACAGTACATCTCCTGCATCCCACAAGAGGCTCACGTAATGCCCAACCCACACCCCTGGTCTGCAAAATCCTTTGTCAGCACCTTGAGGGATCCACAAGCTCCACTCCAGCTCCTTCTGCCACCACACTGCTGCCAGGAGAGCCCCACTGGTGACCCCCCACTGCACAGCAGCCACCTGGTGCTGAGACAGCCCCATTCCCCTCCTTCATCCCAGCTGCTCAGCCCTTAAAAGGACATGCCAAGGAGCACATTCCAGCCAGGCTACTGCCACAGGGACTGTGAACACAGTGTCCCACACCCTGGCCACATGTCCAGCAGAGTTAAACCACACCACACGCATGGAGGTGACAGTGGCTTCTCCATCCCCTGTGGGTCTTTTCACAGGGGATTTTTGTGGGTCAAATTCAACCCCTTCTCAGAGCACGCAGGCCCTGTTTTCCATGCCCCAGTGCCACACAGACCTTGCTTTCCCGTTCCCTGGACATTCCCAGGTTTATGGACACATTTTCCCAGCCTGCCTCTCCCTGATGGTATTTAGACCACACTGCCCAGGGTGAGACCTGGCAGGAGATGGGAGCAGAGAAGGGAGGAGAGGGGGAAGAGTCTACTTACTTCTCGGTTAATCCGAATCTTAACGATCCCATTGGGACACAGGTTTGAGAGAAAAAGATCAGAGATATTAGTGAGGCACAGAGCAGAGGGGTTAGAGCACCTGCCCTGGAGCAGGCCATGGAGAGACAGGGCAGAAAGGACACAGGGGACAGGGACAGGCTGAGGAACACTGCTTGGGCACTGGGATCAGGCCACCACTGACAGACAACACTCTCTGAGCAAGGAGGGGAAAGTGGGATTTGCTGCTGCTTCCAGGAGATGCTGGAGCCTTCCTGCAGCTGCTCTGGTCTCAGCACTACTGGAGGTGGCAGGGGACATAGCTCTTGGGGACACTGCTCTCAGAGGACACCAGGGCTGGGCTCTGCCCAGATTTACACACACCAGCAGGATCAAGGGGTACTCCAGTGTGAGCCCCAGATGGTTTCTTGGTCCTCTCAACCTCTGCATCCCCCACCCAGGGAGAGGGAGATCCACGGCCACATGAGCAGGTGAGGGGGAAGTGGATAGAAAAGCAGAGAGGGAATGAGAAGGAGGGACAGAGCAGAGAGAGATGCAACAAGCAGAAACTGCTGATGAACACAACTCAGGCAGGTCCTTCATGATGTGTTCCAGAGATGCACTGACCAGCCCACCCTGGGCTGTCCAAAGTCCTTCAAATGCTGCTGGACAGACCCTGAGAGGCCACAGGAAGCTCGTGCTGCAGCCCAGAGTCCCAAGGACACAGGCCCTGTCCCCACTTACGTCGATGTAGTTGGCATTGATGTAGTCGGAGTTGGGGTCCCCCAGCAGCGGGTGCAGCTTCACGCGGTGACGGTCATCTGGGGGCAGGGGACAAGGAACCATCAGTGCCTGCTCACCCACAGGGCACCCTGGGCAATCACTCTGGCCCAGAAATCTGCAGAACATGGGATTCTGAAGCTGTTTGGGGTATCTAGGCCTTTGCTAAAGGCACTCACATGTGGACACGTGATCTTGTCTCCCTTTGGTCTTGTCTTTCTTCTTTGAAGCATCCCAGCCTTCAAAGAAACTCTGTAAGGAAAGGATGGACATCTCGAGCTGAGGGCAGGACTCTGGGGTCCCCCCAGCCCCAAAAGCTCCCTGGGGAGCATCCCAGCCTTCAAAGAAACTCTGTAAGGAAAGGATGGACATCTCGAGCTGAGGGCAGGACTCTGGGGTCCCCCCAGCCCCAAAAGCTCCCTGGGGAGCATCCCAGCCTTCAAAGAAACTCTGTAAGGAAAGGATGGACATCTCGAGCTGAGGGCAGGACTCTGGGGTCCCCCCAGCCCCAAAAGCTCCCTGGGGAGCAGGACATACAGGGTGGTCCCTCCACCCCAACACCTGGCTCTTTGCAGCCTCATCTCCACCTCCACAGCACACTCTGCCAGCTACACACTCCTGTTACATCCACAAAACAGTCTATTTTCCAGCAAATTACAGACTGCCTGTTTTGGTTGGTTTTTTTTTTTTTCCTAGGGTTGGTTGTAGCTTTTTTTTTATTCCTAAACCTCCCCAGCTCCTTTCTCTCCCCAGCACAGAACAGGTTTGTGTGTAATAACAGTGACATTCATAGATTGGCATAAGAGGTGGAAAGTGGAAGGAAATTACATGTTTTCTCCCCTCCCATAATATCTGAGTGCTTTCAAATGACTAGTTCCAAGAACATACAGCAGCTTTTCAAGGAGCACTAATGATTATCACAAGCCCTGGTTTGTCCAATGCATGAGGCCGGTGGGGGGATGGAAGAGAGCTCCTGCTCCTGAAACAGCTGAGCATTAAACAGTAATTTCACTGGGAAATTTCAATCTCCAGACCTGTGGGACACCAAGGAGTCAGGAAATGACCCCGCTGCTGTACTGAGGCAGAAACTTGTGAAATAACCTGCTCTGTTACGAGTGCTCTGACCTGGCCAGCTGGGATGGACATGATGCCACCAACCAACAATTCTTGGGAAAGAAATCCCTCCCCTGGCATCACCCTCCCCAGCATCCTCTCCCTAGGGTCTTCATGGTCTTGGAGCTGCCAGACTGCACAAGATTTGCTTGTTCTTAGGCTATGGCCATGCTTATCACAGGCCAAGTGTGCTGGAGAGCAGAAGGTGACAGGAAAAGGAAGGAGCAGCCCTGGCCCTTGCAGGACAGCTGGGATGACACACTGCAGACAGGGCTGGCTGAGCTGCATTGGCTCACCTCAGGGACCTGCTCAAGCTGAGAAATAACCCAGAGCTGCCAGCATTCAGTCCCAACTTGGGGACACCCCCCATGCTGGCAGTGCCAGCCCAGAGCTGTGAGCTCCAGCTCCATCCAGAGCTCCAGACGTAGAGCACTGTCTCCTTGCACACGGATCCCATCCATCCTCCCTCCCGCTCCCCGAGACGCTGGCACAAGGTGTCCCCACCTCATACTCCTGCTTGAAGCCGTAGCCTTCGGCCGTCTTCATCTGGTTGATGTGCTGCAGGAGGTCGGCCACGCGCACGGCCGGGTGCAGCTGCCCCGTGTGGTACGGGGAGCCCTTGCGGCCGCACTGCCGCCGCGGGGAGCCCCCCAGGAGGCTGCTGGACTCATTGACCACGCTGCTGCGCTGGTCACCTGCACGAGGGAGGGACAGCGAGGGGCTGTGGGGGCAGCCAAACATTGGGCTGCATCCCCATCACCTCCTCACACGCACAGAGGGGTGGGGAAGACATACCCAGGAGATGCGGCTGCTGCAGGCCCTCTCTGGGCACCACCAGCCCTCAATCCCGCTCCCATCCCCTCATGCTCTCTGCAGCTCTTCCTACACCACAAAGCCAAGAATGCCCAGTACAGCCTTTTAGGACCTCAGCAGGTCTATTAGAAATCAGTAGGCAAGGCCATAAGGGGATAATAACCTCATTTCCCCTCGGCTGGAACAACGAGCTCCCATGCAGACAAGCAAGAGCTCCATGCCCAAATATTCACACAAGATCCTGAGTTGAAAAATCCCCTTGCCAAAGTCTCCAGCACAGCTTAACAGTTCATTTCCCTCACTGCTAGAGACCAGCTCTGGATTCCTCACGCTGCCACAAATGGAGCTCACTGCTGTTTGATGGAGAGCCTGTGCAGTGTTTACCTGGTTTATGCCTTTGCTGTGTCATTACCAGCAGAGCCAGGCTAAGACCTCACCTGTGTTTGTCAGGGCAATTTCTCACACCAGATCCCAAAATTTGGGTTTGCACAAAACCTGATGCTCTGCGCTACTCCCAGAGATGGGCAAGCAGGGACCCATGGAATAGTTGGGGTTGGAAGGGACCTTAAAGCCCATCCAGTGCCACCCCTGCCATGGGCAGGGACACCTTCCACTGTCCCAGGCTGCTCCCAGCCCTGTCCAACCTGGCCTAGGACCCTTCCAGGGATCCACAGGCAGCCACAGCTGCTCTGGCCACCCTGTACCAGGGCCTGCCCACCCTCAGAGGGAAGAATTCCTTCCCAATATCCCATCTATCCCCTCTGGCAGTGGGAGATAACAGGACAACCCAGGAGAGCGCCTCCACATCCCATGACCTGAGGAATGGGCTCATCAGCTGCTGGGATTAAAGAGGAATTAATTAATTGCTGGCATTTGCAAGGTGCTGCCACAGCCACATGCTGAGGAACCACTGGGGTTTCCATGAGGATTAGTGACTTTCTTTTAAATGCACAGAAACTGAAGGGGTGGGGGGGAACAGCCACCAACCAGTCACCAAGTCATTAATTTCCCCTCGTTAATTAAGGATGTTTACAGGCAATGGAGACTCCCCCAGCCATGGCAGGCAGCCCAGGCTCCCCAGCTCAGCCCCACCAGCCTTGGAGAGTTTCAAGGACAGCAACCAAAGAAAAAACACACCTAAGCTAGCTGGATGTATTCAGAGGAGGAAAAGTTTGCCCTCTGGGCTTTAATGATCCATGAGACAATGGCAGGGAGCACATTCCTCCCGCAGCCCGTGCGGAAGAGCCGGAAGAGCCGCGTGCAGGCGGCATCTCGCAGCTACTGTAACAGATGTTATTAGCATATGGCAGAAACTGGGGCAGCCAAAGAGTTATTTTACAACTAAATCAGCATGGAGACACATCCTCCAGTGGGTGTGAAGTTATCAGTCTCCCTCTGATGGGAGCACAGGGGCTCTTTAACCCTTCAATGCCCAGGCTGTGCCAGGAAGGCTGGGGGAAAGCTTCCAACCTCAGCATAAGCCAGGAGGTAGGATTCACCCAGTTCCAGGGGGCTGCAGCCCAATCCTGAGCCCACAAATGGCCTCAACCGGCCCAGCCACAAGCTCAAATCTCCATGAGAAGACAGATCCAGCTCCCCAAAAGAGCCTCCCCTTCAGCACAGCCTGGATGGCGCAAAAGCTCCAACACCGATGAAATCCATGCCCTTGGAGATTTACACAGGGCAGGGAAGAGCCTGCTATGCCACACAGATCAGTCTAAAATAGATGTAACACCAAGCCTTCAAGAGAATCACAGAATATGCTGAGTTGAAAGGGACCCACAGAGACCCCCGAGTCCAACTCCTGGCCCTGCACAGACACTCCAACAACCCCACCCTGCGCCTGAGAGCATAGTCCAAACACACCTTGAGCTCTGGCAGGCTGTTTCTGTGATATTTTGGGGTTATTGGGCACGTTTGTGGCTGAAAGGAAGCAGGGGGGGTGTCAGGGTCCCCATCCTTACCTTGGTTCCCACAGCTGTGCGATGGGATGCTGGGTTACCAACCTCACCTCTGTTTGCACAGTTGTGGAAGGAGAACAGGGGATGCCAGGCTCCCACCCTCACCTCTGTTTGCATAGCCGTGGGTGTCCATGAAGGACAGCCCCAGGCGCTCGTCCTCCTGCAGGGTGCTCTGGTCGGTGAAGCTCCTGTCGATGGCACTCATCATGTGTGTCTTCTCATGCCGGTAGTTTATGGTGGCTTTGGTCATATTCACGGGTTTCCTGCAGTGGGGAGCAGCAGAAGTGAGCAGGGCTCACCATCAGGTGCTCTAAGGTCCCCTCAAAGCTCCTGGGCTCAGATTATTCCAGGAGCAGAAGGGATTATTTGCAGCAGTGTGCTCATCATGCTTTGGTGCTCTGCTGTCCCAAGCCGGTCACAGCCACACGTGCAGCATCCCTCGCTGGCTGCAGCAACTCCAGCTGCTCAACCTCAATATGTCCCCTCCTGTCCCCTGCCCTTGGACAGCCAGGTGTGCCCCCTGTGCAGTCAAATGCTCTCTCCAGCCACCTCCCACTGCATGGATCTGCCCCAGCCCTGCGCAGCCCCGGTTCTCCAGGTGTGACACCCAGGTCTAGTAGAAGGTGTCCCTACCCATGGCAAGGGTTGGAATGAGATGAGATTTAAGCCCCTTCCAAGCCAATCATTCTGTCATTTTAAAGCCATGTCAGGGGCCAAATCCATCCCAAGGGATGGGCTGGACCCCCTGCTCGGCACCCACTGAAGAGGCTTTTTCCCCACGCAGAGTCTCTTTAGGCACCTAACAAAGATGCTGGGAAATCCCAGGAGTTCCCACTGGGACAGAACCTCCCACCCCAAATTCAAGTCATTCAGGCAAAGAAACCTGAATGAACGTTTCTGAGAGGCAGCATCAGGCTCCAAAGCCAGAGCAGTGATTAAACCAGAAGGATGAACAGGAGATCTGAGCCCATGTCGGCATTGTGGTGGGGCTGGAACACTGCAAGGCACTGCTAAAATCCAGAATTCAACTCAGAGTTGCTGACCCTTCCCCTTTACACTGCCTTCTGTCTCTAACAAGCTCAGCAGCATTATTTTCCCCGATCCAAAGAGACCCTTAAAATGCCCTTGGCAGAGATAAGGACTTGTTGGAGCAGCGGGGTGAGGGGGGTGGCCGGGAGGAGGGTAAAGCAGGAGAATGACAATTACTTACGGGTAATAGGAGTAAGAATAGTAGTTCCTCCTGGCAAGCGTGCAAAGAGAACAGCAGAAATTGCATAAGCAGCTTTTCTCCAGCATTGGGAAGGGAGGTTATAGGGCAAGTCAGCTGCCAGAAAATTCAATGCATCATAAAGGAATCAGGCTCCCCTGTGGCACCCACAGGTTATTTACTCCAGGCAGGAGCCAGCATCCTGGCAGAAGAGCACAAGCACCGGCTCTCAGCGTGACCACATTTGTGGTGGGTGTCCACAGCAACCTTGTCCAAGGGGTCATTATGGTCATTATTTTAAAAATTCCATAATTTTTAAAAGTGAACAACAAAGAAGTCCCAAATGTAGGGATTTCCCCCAGGCTGTTGGTTAGGGGCCCAGAGGGAGAGATAGCGTTGGGATGTCACATTCACAGTGCACCTTTTACTAGAGACACATATTCCAAGGCTGCATTTCCATTCCACCACATCAGTGTTTCTCCAATGGCAAAGCACTCTGGAGAAGATTTATGAGCTCATCCCAGCTTCCCAACAGCCCTAAATTCAGGCTTCTCAGCACCAGATATAATTTGTGGCTCTGGTTTATCCTTCAACAGGTTCATCCTGGGATGCTGAAGCAGAGCTGCTGCTCCTCCTCCTCCTGCCTGGCAGCACTAGCAATGGGAATGCAGCAGCCACACTCACAGCTTCCCACCCACAGCATCACTCCCCAAAACACATCAGCACTGCTGGCATCTGCTCATCAGGGAAGGAGCCAGTGGAGCCACGAGCCAGCCCCACACCTCAAAGTGTGCAGGGATGCTACAGCCCCACTCTTCCAGCAACATAAATCCACCAGGATCCTTCCAGGGTGCACGGAGCCATTAAGAGCTTTGCAGATTTACGGGGGCCGAGGCTCTGCCCTGCTGTTTTTCTCTCCCTGTGGCTGTTCATGTACTTTGCTCTATCCTCCCAAGCCCCGTGTTTAATTGCTGTCCTTTATCCCAGCTCTGAGAGCCCCCCTGGCCTGGCACTGCCTCGAGCCCTGCACAGAAGAAGCCACTTTTCCAGGGCGTTGCATGCACATGAAAAGCAGCGGCCGCACCCCCAGCGCTCCCAGGGATGAGTGTCCCGAAAAGCCCTTGCCCTCCCCCCCTCCACCCCACGAGCTCCCCCAGTGCAAGCCCACCACAACAGCCACAGCCACATCCATGCTAGATGTGCTCCTGCTGGCCTGGCCAAGGCAACAGGGAAGCCCAGAGGCAACATCTCAGTGTATATCAAGCTGATTTTTGTAATTTTGGGCTGGGGGTGCAGGGCTGCACACCCTGGGGTCCCGTGGCTGCTGTTGGCAGGGAAGAGCTGGTGGGATGGGGACAGCTGGGCTCAGCACCAGTGCAGGGCTCGTGCATGGGCCAGAAGCATTTCCATCCATGCAGGATTGCCAAAGCAGCACAAAGCCAAGAACCAGCAGGAAAAGAAGCAAAAGACCAAAAATTATGAGGGAGAGGGACAGTGGAACAAAGCTGCAGAGGGGGTAGGGACATCCCCAGGACTTTGCTGCTCAGTCCCCAATGTCCCCTGCCATGCCTGATGTCACAGAGCATGAGGGCTCTGTGCCCAGTGGGATGCATGGGCACATGGAGACACAGCTCGGGGGAGCATCTGGAGCCCGCCCAGGGCAGCTGAATCCCCACCAGTAACTCCAGACAGTGCTGGGGTGGTGGAGAAGAGCTGAGCTGAGCTGAGCTGGGAGGGAGGGAGGGAGGGAGGGAG